GGAGAAAGAGATGCATCTGTAACTGTGTAATGCTCCAGTTTATGCACAGATACACAGGTTTAGAAAGGTTTATGAAATTCACTATACATACAGATATACACAGGCAAACCCCCCCTTCATAAAAATACATAACTATATGTATATAGCCCTTTATAAAACAATTTCCATCTATATGTTATTGATATATCTATGTATGTAGCCATAGTTGTGTATATATAATGGTTACAGATTTTTTTTTATATATATAGGAAAGAACAGGCAAGTAACTTACATAACACTTTCTCTCCCTACATATATGTGTGTGTGTTGCATACAAAGCCCTATAACTAGAGGCCCTTACAGAACTATTACATCCAGGTTAGCTGCACTGTAACCTGACAACACCCAGTGGAGGTGAAGGGAGCTGCTGACATCACCATCTTTGAGCAGTCGTGGAGATGAGGGGAGGTCCCAGAAGCACATATGAGGGGCTAGTATCACTCCCAGCTACAGGAAGGATTTAAAAGAGGCTCCAGGAAATTACAGGCCCATCAGTTGGAAATTATGGACAGAAACAATCCTGCTGGGGGCTAACACAAGTCAAATCACATGTGACTGGGAAAAGCCAGCACAGATTTCCTGAGTGTAAATCATGCCTGACAAACCTGGTTGCCTTCTGTGACAAACTAACCAGCATAGCTGATACAGGATGAACAGCAGACAGTGTCTTCCTGGATTTCTTCAGAGCTTTTGGTACGGCTCCTGACAGCCTTCTGTTGGGACCTACCTCACTGTAGAGTAGCTCTGGAAAGGCACCTGGGCATCCTGGTGGACAAGCAGCTCAGCAGCACTGAGCAGTGCGCCGCAGCAGCAAAGAAAGCCAACAGGATGTTGGGCTGCATCAACAAGGGCATCAGCAGCAGAGGTAAAGCAGTCATCATCCCACTCTAGTTACAGAATCACAGATTATTAGGGGTTGAAGGGGCCTCCGAAGATCATCAAGTCCAACCCCCTTGCCAGAGGAGGACAAAAAAAAAAAAAAGCCACCAACTAGGGCAGATCACTCAGAAAGGCCTCCAGACAGGTCGTAAAAGTCTCCAGAGAAGGAGACTCCCCAACCTCTCTGGGCAGCCTGCCCCAGTGCTCTGTAACCCTCACAGTAAAGAAGTTCTTCCTCATGTTGAGGTGGAACTCCCTATGCTCAAGTTTGAGGCCACTGCCCCTCATCCACAGGGCACAAGTGACAAGAGCCTGTCCCTTCCTTCTTGATGCCCTTGTGTATTTATAGACATTAATTGGATCTCCCCTCAGTCATCTCTCTAGATCGAAAAGCCCCAGGTCTCTCACCCTTTCCTCATAAGGCAGTTGTTCCACTCCCTTAATCATCCTTGTAGCCCTCCCTTGGACTCTCCCAAGTAGATCCCTGTCCCTCTTCAACTGGGAAACCTTGTCATGCCACATCTGGAATACTGTGTTCAGTTTTGGTTCCCACTATACAAAAAAGATGCGGACGAGTCTGGAAAGGGTGCACAAAAGGGCCACAAAAATTATCAAGGCACTGGGAACGCTGCCGTATGAGGAAAGGCTGGGAGAGCTGGGTTTGTTCAGCCTGGAGACAAAAAGCTTAGGAGAGCCCTCACCACCATGTCCCCGTACTTGAAGGGCAGCTACAAAGAAGATGGTGACTCCTTTTTTACAAGGTATCACATGGAAAAGACATGGGGTAATGGTACAGGTCACTCCTGAGGAGAACCCAAATGGACAGAAGAGGAAAATTTTACACCAGAACAAACAGATGTTGCAATATTCTCCCCAGGGAAGAGGTGGAGTCCCCAACATTGGACCCTTTTAAGACCCAGCTGGGCCAGATGCTGGGCCACCTTGTCTAGGCAATGTCTTTGCCAACGCAGGTTGGACCAGCTGATCAAAGGTCCCTTCCAACCTGATATTCTGTGATTCAATGTATTACAGAATCTATACATACATGTAGGTGGATACACAGCCCCTTAAATGATCCCCCTCTCTAGCCATCTATGTAACGTACCGCCTATTTCATGTATGCTACACCCCGAGACCCTTCTATACACGGAACGCTCTATACCATGTGTGTCTGTGCCTACATACGCAAGAGTGATTCAAGATCACTCAGGTCCCTGGGCACGCACGTTTGCTACACACACGCACAGAGAACAGCCGGGGGAGCAGCCCGTGGCACCGACACGGGCCCGGTTCCCGCTCCCGAGCCCGCGGGACGGACCCGCCCCCGCCCCCCCGCACA